TCATTAGATACGTAAAACGGAGCATTGACAATGTGTCGCAAAGTTTTTGATTGGTAACGCTGAAGTATCTCAATATTTGAGTTGATAGCAGTCACCCAGAGCTGTATAGCGTAGGTGCAAACAGGCTTCAGTATGGATTTGTAGAGGCGAATTTGTAAAAATGTACGCAAAAAATAAGAAAAACGAAAATTAAACATAGACTAAACGTCTGGAATATAGCCCTATAATCCTAACCTAACATAATGTAACCTAAACACCGATACCTAATAAGCCTACTAGAGTCTACCATGAAGAATCCAACTGCCGCAATATTTTGAGTTTCTTCTCGTATGACTTTGGATTTTGACTGCCTATCATTCTGTCCGTTAGCCATTTACAATTTTTCCTAATCCAAATCAAAACAAACTGATTAAGCAGATGATTTCGGTTTGCATAACACGGATCGGAAGGTTTATACCAGTCTGCATATTTATCTATTTTTGAAGTTATTATTAAACATTTTTTGACTGTTTCTTTTTAAATTGAATTGGTAATACTTTGTCTCGAAATGCTTACTAAAAATATGAAAATTAATTGTAACTAATGTAAAAAGTCATCAGAAGGATCTTTAAGTTTTACAATGCTGCTGACATAGCAAATATTTTTATTGATTATCAAATACTCAGAAGGAGAACGTACCCCATCGGATTTTTAAAGATAACTCTAACTCCAAGTCCTCATCAGTTGACTCGCAGTCATCGTCATCAATGCTTTAAAAAAGGAAATGGCTATTGACTTGACCCAATTTCACTGACAATGTTAAGCAACATAGTGTCTTCGTCGGGAGAACAGTTCCCAGATACTGTGCTAGACGCCAGAACTTTCATAGAAAGCATTTTACTTATTATTGCATTAAATTCATACATCGTGGGATTATTATCAGTGACTCCGCGAGTTCTGATTAAATAAATCAGATTTTCTATCGGGTTCTGATTTAATTTCGATGTAGCAATAAAAACGAGAAGGGACGTTTCAGACGCATCTTACGCGTCCCAACTTTTATACCCGGTACTCAGTACTCAGTACTACATGTCGAGATGAGTTTCTGGAGTCGATTTCACACAATTCATCGACTACTTTCATGAAACAACGCCATCAGGGGTATAAAGATTTCTTTTACGGACGATGTTCCTTATCTATTTTATCAAATGTGGCACATCGTCTATCGCAAATATTTATTTATTACTAACATTAAAACTGGGTCTCTTAATGTCAACTCCCAGTCTTCTGAAATCAGCTCTATTATTTGATCCCTGGTCACAGATAGCTGCTCTTACATTAAGCCCTAAGGATTATGCTTGCTCAATATTAGCCGTCGCTTCTCCAATAGGGCATCGTGTTTTATCCCGTTGGCAGAAACGGTGTAGCTTAACACATATTTCCAGTTATCAAATAGGCCTCTTATCATGAAAGCGCAGACTGCTGTCCCAAAAGCCTTTTTGTATTTTTGCAATCATTTTTGAAGCCTTGAATTTCATCGAGTGCAATATTATACTGAAGACCTAGTCTGATTTTAATTTCATCAAATAAAAGCACTGCTGCTCTTCCCTTAGCACTCATTCCTTCAAAAATGTTCTTGAGGTTGATGAGTAAATCAGGGGCTTTAAATGTAAAACATCTCGAACGTATTCATAAGTCCTTGACGAGTAAAAGTTAATATTTTGGGCAATTCCCTTTGCTGCGGGGCTGTAGCGCAATGTCTTTTTAAAAGCATGATACAAACAGTTTTTGCCTCCTCAGAAACATGAGACAGCTTGGCAATTATAGGAATAATACTTGATTTTGAGTTAGGCTTTCTAATTCTGAGACGCCTGTTCTTGCGAGACAAAACTTGCTTCTTCAATTTGTAAAAGCCTACCTCCCTTTTTCGTTGATTAGCCAATATCTCATAATATTTTTTCCCATAATATGCCTCGTTTTGATCTTTTTTTAAGCAGTTCTCACAAAAATCAATATCAACCGATTCATTATTTTGAAATGGAGCTTCAGGCGCTTCTTTTACGCACAGTTGCTCTACATCGTTTTAAATTGGCACTGGCACATCAGCCAAACTAATTTTTTGGTCCTCTCAAATTGTCCTATTGCGTTGAATGGAGTTAATGATGAATTTTCAGATAAGTTTAATGTTGGAATTTCATTCGGTTTTAGTCTAAGGCTTCCTAACCACCCAGCCGCAAAATGCCTTTCGCAGACACGTGAACATTTTTTTACAATCCTTCTATCTACATTACAAGCCTAAATCCATTTAAAAAAATGTATATTTTGGAAATGTAAATAGCCTCACAGGGAAATCGGACGAACTATTTCTATAACCACAAAGACAGGAAGAAATAATGTATCTCCTACCGGTTTTTCTGATGTCTTTTTTAATAACGGACTACATAGTAAATTATAATATTAATCCGCAATATTTTTGAAATTATCACACACTGATATGGTACATAAATGAATAATGAAATAAAAAATCAGCGCGTAAATATGTATATGTATTTATATGTACGCTGCTGCGCTCACTTCACGCACACGCTCTACTCACACAATTCCCGAAAAGGGGGAAGAGGCAGCCGCACAAACTTAGATTTCTACTTCTAAGTACTGCAGGTCTCTTATTCCTACGAGTCTCTTAGTCCTATTCGAATATGCTGCTTTATCCACAAACACTCACCCAAAATGCAGCTTATTCCACAAATACTTAATCAAAAACATAAATATAACGAGAAGGGACGTGTGAGACGCTTCTTACGCGTCACAACGTTTATACCCGGCACTCAGTACTACATCTGCACCTTAGCGGTTATTTGTCAAATTGTACATTTTTTTTCTTCATATGTCATCTACATCAACAACACTACTCACGCCAACGCTCCTTTAGTACGCCACCCTCCCCTAGAGCCACACACTGCAGAGTAAGGGCAGAGGCAGAGACGTGTCTGCGCGAAGCAGAGTGTGAATGAGAGAATGTGCAAAAAACAAATATAAGCTGCGGGACGGGGTGGGTTTAGCCACTGCAAATTAATTTCTTCATTGTGGCCACAATTATGATCCAATCGGATCCCAATTTAGTGATCTGATAGATATGGTCATTCCCTACGGAATTTTGAGTTTTCTTTTATTTTCAAAACTGTAGGTTTGGGAGGTTTTCGCCCTTTTGCCGGGGCGGAAGGGGGCGGGGCTAATTTTTAAAATACACTGGTTTCAGTGTGAGCATATAGCAGACTGGAGCCAAAATTTGGTGGCTTTAGCTCTAGAGTGTCTAGGAACTAGCCGACAAACAAGACGGACAGACAGACATGGCTCTATCGACTCGGCTATTGATGCTGATCAAGTATATATATACCTTATGGGGTCGGAAACGTTTCCTTCTGTGCGTTACATACATTCACTTTGTGCACAAATACAATATACTCTATTTACTGTTCGAGTACCGGGTATAAAAATGGAAAAGGCTTCAAGCGCTAACAATTAAAGCGAACATGAAGTCGAGAACATAAACGACTGCGAGAACAGCTATTGGAATGTTGTGTGTTAATACATATATATATACATATGTATATGCATATATACATACATATATATGTATTTATATTTATCTGAAAAGATTTGTTTGTAAAAGATGGATTTGGTAACAATGTTGATAATACGGCATCAACGAAGTCGAGAAGCGACGGGGTTTCCATAATATGCATGCAATTTTGAATAAAGCAGTATAAAATTTGCGTTTAAAACAATTACGGCATACAAATACAATAACAATTTTTATTGGTGTATTTATTTTTTTCCAACCCCCAAGGGTTCGGCCACAAACCCCCAACCATCATTCTGCACATGTTGAGGGAGGTCAGGTTCATACGCCAAGCCCCGAAAACAAAATCAAATCATCAAAACGAATTGTCGTTCCATCGCAGTTCAGCAAGTCAACGCACCAACACTTACATTACGTTCAGTGTAAAGCCAGTTTGAAGCGCTAAAAAATAACAAGCAATACATATTCATCGTTGGCTGCGTGTCCTACACGCACTATTCCACATACCATGGTGGGGTACTCTAAAAGTCGAATCTACTATACTGTATGGTTAGTTCCGACCATGAAGAAACTATAAAGGAGGACTCGTCGTCGGCAGCGTTCCTCGGGTCATTTCCCCCTGAGCTCAGTGCTTCAGGCGCACACTCCATTGTCGTTTCACTCACACTTACAGCGAGAGCCCTTTTACTCGCACTTATTGACAGCATTGTTACGTTTCCCTCTAAAAAGCCGACGGGTCCTCCTTTATAGTTGCTTCATGCCGGCAGAGAGACTTATGTTTTCCAGCACAGTTACCCACAAAGCATGATCAAGTGCTGGAAGTTTTGTTTTCAAAAATGCCGGTGACTAGAGGAAAAATAATTACAAGGTAATAAATAAATACTGAGTGTAAACCATTTGCGTAGTTTGCTTGCGGCGGCCTCAACAGAGGCATACAAACACAAACATGGCAGATCGTGGTAAAAATGCAGGTGAATATTATGTTAAGGCATTAATAGTTCAATAGTCACGCAGAATTTTTGTTCGTGTGTATGTAAAATGGCGCGAAGTCCCTCTCCCTACTCCTAATATGTATGTGGGGAATGGGCACATATGCACTGAAAAAAGGAAAACGAGAGCTATGAGTTCCACGAGACATTCTCCCGTTCCAACAGTCAATTAAAAGTGTTTGGTGGATCATTCTATTTCTCCCCAATTGGTTTCCGCGAACTATACTTGCACCTTAACTGCATATACCGGAAAATTTTTGTTTTTATATTTTCTACTCTGTGGCGCCCACTACCGATAGCTGTCGTAGGCACTGTAAATCGATAACTTATGGTGTTGGTCAATGCATGATTATTTTGGCGCCACCTAGCGTTAGAAAAAGGCTTCAACGCAGAGTTGCATTCATTGCCGCTAATATTTCAAACTTAAATTTGAATTCAAAATAAATAAATTTTTGTTTTAAAATATAGTTTAATTTAGTAACTCAACAACAGTAAGTTGTCCGACTTTAATGCGCTTGATCTTGGAATATTGTCTATGTCGATTTATTGTTATATTTTTTGTTTGTTTGTTAGTTGGCTATTGTGGGCTAAATTTTGCGAAAAAATATCAACATACTTAAGGCTGTGCCGACCAGCGCAAATGGGATAAACTCCATTGGCATCTTGATAGCACGGAGCAGATTCAGGAGCTCGCGAAAGCGACTTGTTTTCTTGTCGCATGGCTTATCCTGCTTCGTCTCCTCATCCACGAGATCCTGCTCCTCCACCGCAACCTGAGCTCCCACGCTGCGGTCCTCCTGCTCAATCGGAACTTCGTCGGTTGGGGCCACATTATGTTGCATCAGCTGTAGCAGTATACCATCATCCAGGTATCCTTCCAAAGCTCGTAGACCAGCCATCCCCAGCAAGGGGCCAAGGCGGCGAGGGGATGCAACAGATTCCACCTCCTGTGACATCTGCTCTGGCTGAGTTGCGGTTGGCGGCATCTCCTCTGATTGCTCGTTTTCCAGCTGAATGATTTCTTCCACTAGCTTTTTCATTTCCTCGCCATTTTTGTTTTTATCCAACATCTGGATGTACTCTCCCAGCCACGTTGAAGTCGGTTGTGGGTTTTGTTGCAATCCCACTGTTGCGTTCGATACACTTGATAGAGTTTCGTCTATGTTGCCCTCTTGCTGCTCCAGTACCTTTTCCACTGCATTCAAATTGGTTTGTGGTTGCCCCTGGTGCTGCTCCTGTTCCAGCTCTCCCTGTGGATCCTCTTCTGGCAGCTGCACGACAAAACAAGAGAGGAGGTCTGGAATCTGGTCCTGCTCCAGAATATCTGCTTCTAGTTCTAAATCGGATTGGTTAGTCTCTACATCGTCTCCACTGGTGTTGTCGAGGAGCTGCTCCTGCAAGTCCACGATCGCTTCTGCTGTGGTTAGCGCTGCACTTAAATCGGACTCCACTGCCTCCATCTGATCTTGGAAATCCACGATATCTGCAGGATTGGTAGATGGTACAGGTAGAGACTCTCCCAGCTGCTTATTTTTCTCACCCTCTGCCATCGATGGTGTCCCTTCCGCAGCTTTTTCTACTGGAGGCTCGTCCTGTTGCTTCTGTGGCATTATGTCTTCAAATGGCTGAGACATAAGTGGTGACATCTCCTCGCGATAATTATTTTCATCTGTTTCATACATAAAAGATATAACAGCATCGTCTTGCTGTGTCTTCTGTAACATTTCTTCGACTGGTGCTGCGATATCCTCCTCAATTTCATTCAATTTCTGAGGCGTGGAGTGTGGATACACTTGCTGTTCCATGGTCTCCGCTTTCATTGCCATCATGGGCGAAGTAGAGTCTAAAAGACGTTCAATTTTTTCGTAGTGCTCCCGCACAAATTGTTGCTCCTTGGTTACTATGCCTGGCAGCGTTTCGATTTGGAGCTGTTTGGCTGCACCAAGTGGGGCCTTGGTCAGTTGTTGGAGCTGGTCGTGCAGCTTTATCTTTACAGCTTGTACCTCTTCCTCGTGGACTGCACCATTGATAAGGTTCTGCAGACATTCCTCCACTAGTTCTGGATAATTTTCCGATTTGAATACTTTAAGAGTTTGTAAAACTTCTTGGGGCTTTTGAGGTTTATCTTCCAGAAGTTCCTTTACATTTTTCTGCACCATTTTCTCCACGGGTGACACGAGCAGCTCCTGCAGCGGTGCCAATTCCTCTGGCAGCAGTTGTTGCAACTTCTCGATGACAGCGTTTTGCACCGCCTTCTCGGGGCTGTCCCTGAACAGATCGACATTCTCTGCAGTAATGGTATCACAATCACTATCGTTGACTGTCTCCCCATCACTTTCGATGGTGTTCAGATCTGCCTCCATCTCAGCCACAGCTTGCTGGAGAGCTCTCAGAGATTCCTGCTCGGTTTCGCCAATCCCAGTCAGATTACTGCAGCAGCTACCCACCGGGGACACACTGCCTCCCATTGAGTTGTCCATTCCAATGCCGGAATCGTCGTTTGGTTTCGCGGGGCTGAGGCTAATGCTGTCCTTGCTACAGTTCCCATTCGAGTCGTTCTTCTTTAAGGACTGGCGAGACTGCTTCAAGGTGCTCGTGTACTTCCGTGTATTCACATAACTGAGGCTGGTTCTGCCAATGGGCACAGGGATCCGGCTGGCCTTGCGTAAAGTAGAACCAACGGCCTCAACTTTTAGTGCATTGCCGTCGACTTCCTCCTTGGCGTTCATGCTTTCCGCGGAGGGAGTCGCTGTCAGTGCACCATTTGTCATTGCCATGGTTCTTGTCTATTTGGGATTAAGTTTAGAAATTTTGGGATAACGTTTTGTTCGTTTCTTATACTGACTTACACACGAAATGAGACTGGAGCTGGGTCAAATGGGAAATGGACTGATTTTGACTTGGGTCACCAGATCGAATTTAATTGTTTGTTAAACTTGCTGAGCTGGCTTTGTTCCTATTTTTTTTTTACTATTTTATGTTTAATTTTTGTGGGGAAAATTGTCAAAGTTGTGTGTATTCGGACGGAGAAAGTTGACTGTCACTTTCCGCTGGACTTAGACGTTGCAGGTGAATGAAAAGCATTTCTCAAGGCCTACCTGGCAGGGTTGTAGCAAACAATATAGAAAATATGAATTTGATTTTATTGCAATTAAAGAAAATTATAACATTAGCCCATTTTTGGCCCATCAATTATTCTAAGCCGTTTATTCTTTCATATTATAGGCATTTCTGGCTTTTTAATGTTTTGTCAACATTTTAGTGTTGCACAACCTATTTTCGAGCTTCCCTGACAGTGTTGAAAAATAAAGCTGTCGTCTGAATTTCAATTTCCAACTGTTTTCTTACCACTTGCTCAATATTTTATATAAGTGCTGCACAAAATGCACTAAAAAATCGAAGCAATTAGTTATAAACTTTCGACTTAGTCGAAACGCACTTTAATTAGGTTTTACATCGATTTTACATAGTTAATTTGGTTAAAATTCATGGCAGAGACAAGCTGGTAATAAGTCCCTCAATTTTGCAGCTCAACTTTTAGCTTTAGATGCTCCGACAGATCCTTGTAGATCAGAGGGTCGACGTGGTCTGTTTGATGGAAGAGAACACAAATTAAAGTCAAACGATGGAATGGACTCTTGCTACTGCTACTCACTGTTGCATTTGTACTTTAGATTCGACCATATAATCATCTCCTGCGAGAAACAGAACACGCCCAGACGTCCGCCCTTGAGCGTTGAATCGTAGACGTTGCCCGAGTCGATGACCAAGCTCTGGCCCTCGTACATTCTGCGTGGGAATACAAAAAAAAAAAAATGATCAAATGTTTCATGACTGTTCAAGCAATCACTCACTGCAATCGTATCAGACCAATCGCTGGGCGATGAACCAACGACCAGCGATACGAGGTCTTCTCCTTCCAGGCCACATTCCTTGGATCCTTCCACAGCAGACGCGCCTGCCCAGGCGTATCACTGTCGCGCCACAAGCTATTCCTCATCATGGAGCCCGGTCCAGTGTGGCTATCAATGAGCTTGATCTGTATGCCAGGCTCTGCGGAGGCAATGAATGGCTTCGACTCCCAATACGTCTGTGAGCCCTTCTTCCATTGGACCACATAGAACTTGTGATTGCTCTGATAGCTGAAGATGAAGCCCGCATAGTCGTCGTCCGTGTCATCGTTCACATAGAATGTGCCCTCAAAGTCAACGCCACCGAAGGCATCGTCGCCCACGACCAGCCCAGGGTCCGAGTTGAGGGTCTGGACAATCTCAGTGCCATTGGCATGGACCACCCAATTGGGATCTAGTTGGGATTCGCCCTCGGGATCCAGGCGTACCGCTCGGATCGAGCGAAAGTCCGTGTGATGGATCATGGAATTATTGGGGCAGTTGTCCAGGATATTTGGGATGCCATCCACATCCTCGTCCTCCTCGCAAATGTCGCCCTTGCCATTGCGATTAAAGTCCAGCTGCTGGGGATTCTTGGCTAGTGGACAGTTGTCCCTGTAATTGGGTATTCCATCGCCATCGATGTCATCGTCGCAGGTATCGCCCTTGCCATCGCCATCCGTGTCCAGCTGATCCGAATTGCTCACCATGGGGCAGTTGTCCTCAGAGTCCTGGATTCCATCATCATCGCCATCGATGCCACTGTCGCAGGCATCGCCCACCAGATCCATGTCGCGATCCTCCTGCATGGGATTGGGTATAGTGGGGCAATTGTCGCAAACATCGCCCACACCATCATTGTCCACGTCCGATTGATTGGGATTCCTCACCGAAGGGCAGTTGTCCACCTCATTCGGAATGGAATCATTGTCGATATCCTCATCGCAGGCGTTGCCCACTCCATCCCCATCCGAGTCCAGCTGCCGCGGATTGAATTTGTGTCCACAATTGTCGCACACATCGCCCACACCGTCCCCGTCTGCATCCAGCTGCTCCGTGTTGTAGGACAGCGGACAATTGTCCTTATTGTTCTGCACCTGATCCCCATCGGCGTCATCGTCACAGCCATCGCCATGGCCATCTAGATCGGCATCCTCCTGCCCGGAATTGGGCAGATCCGGGCAATTGTCACGCTGGCAGTGGAGCTCGGAACAGGCCAGCGGTTGGTCTGGCCAACCATCCAGATCTCGATCTTGTCCACAGATCAAACCATTGCCCGCCCAGCCAACGGTGCAGCGACACTGATAGTGCACGCTGTCGGAGTACACGCAGACGGCATTCCTGTCACAAATGCGTCCATCCGGACACACAGAAACCGAGGATCTGTCCAGGCAGCTATACGTGCCATTGGTCACAAATCCATCATTGCATTGGCAGCGGTATGAGCCCTAAAAGGGGAAAATTCACATGTAAGAAGAGATAACAGCCAGTCGTTTGTTTTACTTACAATCTCATTGATGCAGGTGGCATGGAGCGGACAACTAAAGTAACCCGACTGGCACTCGTCGGTGTCCAGGCAGGTCTGCTTCCTGTACTCCACAGACAGATGATCCGCAAAGTAGCCATGCGCATGGATGCCATCAAAGCCGCTCGGACAGGGCGTACACTTGAAGCCCGGATTGAGATTGTGGCAGACAGTCAAATCATCGCAGGGCTGATAGATGGCACACTCATCCACATCCCTACAGCTGGTGCCATTGATTTGGTGACCCTTTGGACAGGAGATGCACTGGAAGTAAGGCGGAAAGCCCATTCTCAGACAATGGGCACCTAAGTGGATCAGCAGAGAGACAGGGAGAGAGATGAGCAATGGGTGGAAAAAGGGATTGATTGATGATGTTGTATGATTTTTGATGATGTGTGAGATTTAAACTAGGCATCAGAATTGTCGACCCAAAGACAATATAAAACATAAAGTGAAATGAATGGTACACGACTTTTCAGAGTTCTGCATATAATATATGATACTACGAACATGATAGACCTCTATCAACTCCAACTCCTTTTAGACTTAAACTGCAACTTACCCTCTGCTTGAAATCCACATTATAAAATGGGTCTCTCGCTTCTGTAGCATGACCAGAAAATGATAGTGTATAAACATGAAGCGATTCGTTGAGATGTGGGAGTGTGGTGGTGGTGGAAGATGAGATTTCAAAGATATGTAGATAGATACATTATATAGCCAATGGTTGAGTTTATTTATTAAATACCAAAAAAACATTACAGCATACATTTTTGTTTGTTTGTTTGTTTGTTCATTAGATTCTATTCGTATTTAATTACAGTAGTAGTTCAGGGATCGGTAGGGGAAGGGGTAAAAAAATCTCGTTACACGTTTATAGACTCCACTTTCTGGGCATTCTATTTGAGGGGTTTTTTATTGCGGGGGAGACATACATATGTACGGGGGGTAGGTATATTTTTGTTCGTTTTGTTTGGAAGATTATTTTGGGTATGGCTAATACTTGAAAATTCCTCTCCGTTTTGCCAATCGAAAAGAGCTTACAACTTATGACTATTTTATATAGGTAGTAAGTAATTCATTATGTGCACACATTCTTCTGTTTGTTTTTTGTAATTTGTAATCGCATATATGACATATGTTTATATATCTCGTTTATCTTAGTCGAAACGCTGCTCTCCCGCTCTGTGGATTAGTTCGTTATGACCGAGTATTTGCGGGCCGTGTACTGGCTCTGCCTCTGATAGTGAATGTTGCCTAATACAAATGAGAATTGTTTATTAGTTAATCGTATATGTAATTTATCATATTTCGCTAATATATTCCACCTACTGCTTGCTGTATGCCAAATGCCAAAAGCCAAGTGCCTGGCTTGTACTTTGAACTTTTACCGCCCCAAAATCAATTAGCAAAGCAAAACCCCTGACATATAAGGAAGTTTGTCCCACCCACAACATTCCAACACGCCTCAAACACGATGACTCTGAGCTCTAATTAGCTGCCTCGTTTCACACATTCGCTGGAAGCCCGAAATTACCCTTCATACCATATAATTTGTCGAGGGTTTTTCGTCTTTAATTCAATCAAAAGGGTTCAGAGCGAGTCCTCAGTCGCCGTCTGAGTACCATTCCCAGTCTCTGGGTTCTGGCAAAGTGGTGGGGACTTAATAAATCAAATAGTCGTGTGAATTGAGTGCACTACAGTTGGATTTATGGGGTATATCCACTGTGGGAAAATTATGGACTAAACTGAAGAATTAAAAAAATATATATTTAAATCTCTTTGAATTCTTTAAACATTTAACTGATTTAAAATTTAATAACTTTTAAAAAGAAAATCTTATGAAGGACACTTTTCTAAGCCATTTAATCTAAGAACAAAAAATGAATTGTTAATTGTTAAAGTTGTTAAAATGAAAACTCGAACTTTACCTCAATTTTCCCATTGAATGATTGATTGATTTGCTTTCACAATCCCCCCTATAAACTTCTAATCAAATTAGAGCTGCAACTTTTGTATTTCCCAGTTATACGATCCTACAATAGAGCAACCCACGCAAGAACACGATCCATTGTAGTGGCACGACAAACTCAAATTAGCCATAAAATCAACAAAATGTCCAACAATTTCTGGCCACAAACAAAACACTCCACTTGAGCACTAATCCGGGAGGATGGGGTGGTGGAAAAACAAAAAAAAAACACAGAAGAGAGAAAAAGAAACCCATTCCATTTCCACATCCACTTCCATTGCGATTCGATTGGTATGGGTTTGCTTAAGTTGTGCGACTTACCTGAGGGGCATGGTGTGTCCATGCAAGGATTACGTAGAGAACATGTGCGTCCATCACCTTCGTAGCCAACTGGACAGGAGTCACACTGGGCTCCGTTCACGGTATCGTGACACTGAACGCCTCTGCAAAGAGTACAGAGAAGGAAAGAGACAGAAGAGAGACACAGATTCGGTTGGTTAATGGTTGATCAGGCAGAAGGAGGATGTGTTGTGTGTTGTGTGTGGTTGGTCCCCCCTCACATATTGTTTATTATTATTAATACTGACAGTCAGGAACAAACAGCAACAAAAGACTGTTAATGTTAATGGGGGGGAACACATGGAAAGGTAAACCAT